CCGTCCCCAATTATGCGCACCTGGCACTGATTCCTCCCCTCTGTGCTCTGGGTGTCCTGCTCCGTCTCCCCTCGCACTGCCTCCTCCCAGATCGATCTGCGTCTTCCTAGAGCCTCTCAGGTCAGCCTTCTCTCTAATATCAAGCAATGCCTCCTCCCTCCTGCAAAGCAAATCTCAAACGACCTCCCCTCTAACAAGCCTCCTGGCAAAGTCCAGGAGCTAAACACAGAGGCTCTGGAGTCAGACAAATCTGTGTCTAAAACCTGGGTCTCTCAGCCAAGTCTCTGTGCTCCTGGGCCAGTCACTTGGCTTCTCCAAGCTTTATCTACACCTGAGGCTCAGACACGACTATACTTGTACAGGTGGGGTAATGCTTGCTGCCCAAGAAAGCTCGAGAACACCAAAAGGAATACTAAATAGAAAGAACTTCGTGTAGCACCTGGAACGTCGTTGGCCTTTTAACAGTCACTGTTAATCATAAATTCAAATTGTCTAGTGATTCTTATGCCTAAGTCATATGCATGCATAGGGTGATTTCATGGGTAGGTATTGACCTTGACGTTGTGTGCTGTTCTGATATGCTGTGGGAGGCAGGGCTGCTGGACAAATTCAATGCCAACAATGTCCCCCCCGCCTGAGGTTGGGGGGGGGGGCGGTTGGAATTCAGCAAGTTTGGGAAGGAAAAGGAGGCTTTTCTTTTCAGTTTGTTTCTTTCTATAGTTTGATTATTTTAACTTTATAAATACATTAATGTTTTAAGTGTCAGTGGGGTTTCTGGGCAGGGAGATTTGGGCTTTTTGTTGGTTTATTTGTTTGGTTTCTATTTTGTATCACTATATATATTTATATACTGGTGTATTATATATACACTATATATATTTATATGTTATATATACCACTATATATAAACTAATAATCCAAGAAACTCTGTATTTTAGAAGTCATTCAAGGGGCACCTAGGTGGCTCAGTTGGTTAAGCGTCTGACTTCGGCTCAGGTCATGATCTCATGGTTCATGGGTTTGAGTCTGCATTGGGCTCCGTGTTGACAGCTCTCGGAACCCACTTCAGATTCTGTGTCTCCCTCTCTCTCTGCCCCTCCCTTGCTTGTGCTTTGTGACTCTCTCCCTCAAAAATAAATAAACATTAAAAAAATGTTTAAAAAAAGAAAGTATTTGTTGGTAGAAAAAGGAATGAGCATAGGTTTTAAGGGCAAGCTGACCTTAAATAGTGAATTTGGACCCACTATTAACAAATGACAGACTCTCGTCACACCTTTGTTTCCTCTTGTGTGTGAGGCAGCTAATAATTCCAACCACATGGTTGGAATTTCCAGTACCTTGGTATTTCCAGTACCTTGGTCAGATACTGCGCGTGTCAAGTGCCCAGTGCAAAATGTGGCCAACAGTGGGTTCTCCAGTGGCACCTGTGATCATGTCTACTATGTGCGTGATGCTTTCCTAGGTGCTGGGCTCTTAACAGGCAGAGTAAATATACTGGTTCAAACTGACAATTAACTCAGGGTTGGTATTAGGATTAATAGTTAGAGTCTGTAATAGATTAGGGTTAGGATGAAATTAGAATTCAATTAAGGTTAGAATTAAAATGTACACGAAGGTTATTATTGAGGATGGGGTTAATTAAAACTGGATAATGGAAGTAGGGAACAGTATGAGGAACACTGGTTTAGTTGGGTGGAAAATTAAGGAGAAGAGCAATGTGGAAACCCACGTAGGATGTACTGATAAAGAAGACGTAGAGACAAGAAGGACTCACAGAGCAGAACCGAGCCCAGTCTTCCGAGCTGTTTCCCACAGGTGTGGCCACCCCACTCCTGGTGATTACCTAGTATTCACCCCACTCGGCTCAGGCCCCCTCCCCGCCCAGAGCAGGAGCAGCAGCGTGGGGAAAGGAATGCCCGGGGCCCACACAGCTGCGGCCAGCCCAGCACCGGTGCCAGCGCCGCATTCCACACCCCCAGCTCCCCAGGCTGTTGCTGAGTGGACAGGGCATCGGAAGCCAGAACCCGCCTTCTCTCCACCCTCCTTCTCTGCTGCCCCCCAGTCTCTGCTGTAGCCACCAGCCCTTTCATCCCACAGACAACCTAGTCCACACTTTGTGCGAGTCTCTTAGAGATGCATGGTGTATGTCACAGCATTTCAGAGTGGAACGTAACCATGCGATCACAGTCCAACGTGGATACTTTTATTATTACCTATTTACATGACGGGGGTCGTTCCAGTAGGTCAGTCTTGCTTTGTAAAACTCTGCTCCTAGTGAACGGGAGCCTGTGAGCTGCAGGGCTATGCAAGCACAGAGGACACTAAAATGATTGTAGGCAAGGAGTGATTCCCAATGGAGACATCCGCATCTGCAGGAGAAACTACCCTTCCACTCAGATACACAGGACTGAGCAACTCCTCACTTGGTACACGGCTCAGAAGTACTGGCAATGATACTCCTCGGTCCTCTGGGCCCCCAGGATACTCTCTGCCTCCTCTGTCCAACTGGGTAACCCCCTTTCTGCACCGCCGTGTGGACGTAGGAAGTCACTTAACTTCTCGGAGTCTTCTCTTCCTCATCCGTTCAACAAGGGGCATGAATTAGGTAATCTCGAAGGTCGCTTACAACTCTAATACTCTTTCATTCTAAGATTCTAAAAGCCAATGACTGCTTCGTATTCCCAGGGCCTAACGTGCTGCCAAACTGATACTGATGATGCAGAAAAGGGAAAAGGAGCCAGTAGGAAAAGAGCGTTGCAGTCTCGTTCGCTAGCTCTTCGGACTGTCTCCAAAAGGGCTCTCCTCCCACACGGTTACAGTAGAGGGTGGGGCCAGGGCAGCAGCCGTTAGAGAATTAAGTGAGAACAGGCAGACAGGGATCACGGTGGAGGAACAGATGGAAAAGATGATTAGTTGGAGGAGCTTGGGAACTAATCCCCTATCCCGCTGTCCCCATCCCGTCCATCCCGTCCCTCCTGCGACACTAACCTGTCCTCTCTTAAGACCACTCAGATGATCTCTAAGGCTTCTTCTAGCTGCAAAGATAATACTCTTTAGCCATCAAGACCCTTTAACCAGGAGAGCCTGATCCTTCCCCTCTGAAGCCCCATTCTCTCTGAAAACACAGCCACTCCTTCTTTTTTTCTGTATGACTAAACTTACGCTAACCTGGTCCCCCCACTATCTGAAATACCAATCTTCCTTTCTGGTCTCCCCTCCCTCTGGAGAGAGTCTGGTCTGCCCAGGCTTCAACTACTCTACTCTCTCCATCTTCATCTTGTAGAGATTTTTAAGATGTCAGGGAGTCACTGAGATATGGGAAAGCAAACATGACAGCCCAAGGTAGCCCCAAACTTCTGCAAGTAAGTCTAACGAACTCAGGAAACATGAAGAAGCAGGCAGAGGTCTTCTCCCAGAGACCACTGATAGATTCTAGAAACAGAGAGAAACAGTGGAGCAACATCTCTGGGATCTTCCCAGAGAAGAGTCACTGGCCTCTCTATCATCAACTAACATTTATATGCAGCTTTACCAACTACACAGTACTTCCCACATCCTTGTCCTTGAATTACTAGATGACAGGCATTTAAGTCCATCAGAGAGGGCTGGGAGTGCCTGTCTGAGAGGAGGAAAGATTGCCCAAACATTAAGGATTAGCGTGGCGAGGCGCAGTCACCAGTGCAGAAAGGGGACTGACCTGGGGGCTAGAGGACAAGCACCCAGGGTCTCTCAGGACTGGAAGACACTTTAGAGACCATATCGTCCCTTGGCCTAACCACCACGTGTGTTTTCTACTGATAACTGTCAGTGTAACCTTGGGAGGGCAGTTAATCCACCTTGGACCTCAGCTGCACCTGTATAATAAGGAGTGGGACCAAATAGTTTTAAAGAATCCTTATATACATAAAACTCTTCGATTCAGAGAGTCTAAAATTTAGGAATATCCCCAAAAGCTACGGTTAAGCAAAGCTACCTTCGAGGGGTCTCTGAGATGCAGCAAGACCCTTCCAGAGATACTCAGATCACGAAGCATGGCAAACCCAAGGACTCGGCACTCTTCACCAGGCATCAACCCCCTGCCTCTCTCATCCACTCTGGCCATCGAGGCATTGCTCCTAAAGGCGGAGTCTTCCTGAGGGTCTGCAGATGAGACCATTCACCCAAGAATCTTACTAAAACTTGAGAAGGAAGGACAGGATCCTCTGAAAGATTGAGAAAAAATATTGGGAGGAAGGTCTGGATGGAAGGGGAGGGTAGAGAGGATTAAGCGGGGACGCTTCGGAGTTGCTTTGTAGTCGGCTTGGTTGGGCAAGAGTCTGAAGTGAAATCAGGGGTCACAGGGGGAGTCCTTTCTTGGACGGGGGATCGAGGGAACGTGGATCCCCACGGCCTGGAGGTTTGCTGGAAGAAACCTTTCAAGGGAAATTGCCTGGGGCCACACATTGTTGCTGGACAGAGGACTGGGGGCTCCTGGGTCAGGGGAACTAGGGAGGTGTGTGTTTAGGTCAGGGTAACTGGCTGCCCGCAGGGAGATGTCGCTGGGCACACTGTTGATAGGGGGCCCCGGGGCGGCTCCTGGGGATCCCCGCTTGCCAAAGGAGGGAGGGCGGGGCTGGAGGATCTCGGGCTGGTGGGCACGCCCTTGCCCAGGCCTGCAGTGGCCGCTCTCGCCAGCTGGCCCCAGGCCCTGCCCGGCTCCCCTCCCTCCACCCCAAGCCTAAGGGGGGTGCGTGCAGGGTCCCACTGCTGAGCCAGCTCCCTCCCTCGGCTCCACACCCGCGCCCGGCTGGCGGAGCTCCCGGGGGAGAAGGTGGAAGGCACCACGAGGGCGCGGAGGGGGTGTGGGAGGCGGGGGGAGTGGGGAATGCGGCAGCTAGGCCCCCCCGCGACCAGCCCAACCCCCCGCCGCCCCCCCTCCACCTCCAACCGAATGGTTTGCTCCGAGCGCCCTATTTAATCCCCGCGACTGCAGCAGCGCCGGCTCCCTCCCGGTCCCCGCCTCGGCCCCGGGCTCCGAGCGGCTCGGGGGCGCCCTGTCGGTCAGCGTCGCTGCCCACCCCCTGCCCAGCCCCCCGCCCCCGGGGACCCAGGCTCGCCAGCGCGCAGCGGGGAGCCGGCCGGGACGCGCCATGGGGGGCCCCTCCGTCCTGCCCCTGCTGCTGCTCCTCGCCAGCTGCGGGGCGCCCGGCGGGGCCAACCTCTCCCAGGACGGTGAGTCGGGGGTGGCGGGGCGGCGCCGGGGGGGGGGGGGCCGGGGCGGGGCGGGGGGGGGGCCGTGGGCTTTGTCTGCAGGCGGGGGGGCTCGGGTCGCCGCCGCCGCCGTGGTACCCGGGCGGGTCTGTCCGGGCACGCGTGTCGGGCGGGTCTGGGCTGCGCCGCTGTGCACCTGCCGCTCCCTCGCGTGTGCGTGCGCCCGGGGCTCGGTCAGCTCGCGGCCGCCCCGGGTCTGGCGGCGCCGCTGTCCGTGTGCGTGTGTCTGGGTGTGCGCGTCTGTGTTGGTGTCTGCCGCTGCGTTTCTGTGTCAGTATCTGTGTGTATGTCTGTGTCAGTGTGTGTTGGGGGCGGAGTGAGAGCTGTCGCCGTTTCAGTCGGGGCGTGTGTCGGGGTTTGTGTATGTGTCTGGAGGGGTTGGATAGCCGGTGCACCCCCCCAACTGCTGTATGCAAACATCGCTGCCCCCCCGCCCGCCCCCACCCGCGGCGCAGCTCCGAGCGGCAGGGAAGGGGGCCTGGGTGAGGCTGCCGAGGGGGGCGTGGGCACGGAATGGGGGGGGCTTCTCCTTGGAGCAAAACAACAACACAGGGCGGGGGGGGGGGGGCAGGATGGCAGGATCCCTAGCGGTGGCAGCAGCTGGTAAAAGAAACCCAGACAGGAGCGGAGGAGGTGGGGGAAGGTTGGGCAAAAGGAAGCATCAAGATATTTGGGAAGGAGAATGCCCAGAAAACCCAAGGCTGTCCTGGGCTGAGCATGGATTTTCCCAGATTTGGGGTGGGGTAGCTCGCCTTTTGCCCCAGGTGGGAACTCAAGCCCTCTCGGGTTTGTAAGGCTAAGACCCAGGGAAGAGTGGGGGGAAGCAGGGAGGCGGGGCCAGGGCGAGGGGACTTGGGGAAGAGCCCCTCCCGCCCGGACCGGCTATGTAGGTCAGCGCTGTGGGGGCCCCTCAGTTTTCTTAAAGGCTGCTGACGGTTCATGGGGTGGCAGGGGACAGTTTGTAGGGAGCCCAGGAAGGGAGCCAGGCTCAGAGCCTCAGGTCCCCGGAGGAGGGAGGGCAGGCAGTGGAGGGACTAACGGAATGCATCCTCCGCCCAGTCAGAGGAGGGCTGGGCTGCCTTAGGGGGAGAGGGGACGGCCAGGACCTCTGCGGAGCAAAGGGATGTGGGGAGAGTGAGGGGGAGGGTGGTGGCTATGCCCGGCCAGATGCCAACGAAAAACAGAAAGAACCGCAGGGGAGGAGAAAGGGGAGGCGGCTCCTGGGCTATGGACCCAGTGGCCAGCAGGGATGGGCACAGGGCCAGGGCGGGGCGGGGGTGGAGAGGGGAGGGGTTGAAACTGGGGAGGATGATGTAAAGAATTTCATCTGAAGAAAACAGGCGAGGAGCCAGGGTGCTGGAGGAATAATCGCTCCATCTCCCCTGACCTCCTCTCTCAGCCCCGTCTCTGTCATGATAAAGGAGCTTCAGCTGGTGTGAGGTTCCTGGGGGTCCCTTCCCTACAGCTGGCTGACTCCTTCCACCCGGTACCCAGCAACACCCCAAAGGGAGTCCCTCCCGGCAGCGTTGGGAGTCACCACTGTGACAGCAGCTCCTCCCCTGGGCGGAATCCCCCTTCCCCAGAGGACCACACTGATGACCCTACTCACCATGGGGGTGAGAGGGGAGTCCCAAGGGCCAGCCAGGTGCAAGGCAAGGACAGGCTGCTGGGTGTATGTGCCCCAATAATCATCCTCTACTAGGCCTTGACTTTCAGCTGCAGACCCTGGCCTTTTCATGCCGCTAGCTGCGTTCACCATAGACAGTGTGACCCAAGCTGCACCTGTTTGGCAGTGGGGACTGACAGCCCCAGGCTAGTACCTAAACAGAAAGAAGTCACCCCAGAAAGCTGGGAGCTCTCCAGCTCTAGGATGTAAACACTGGAGAAGGGAGTAAATCTATCCACTAGCCAAGGCTTTCTTCACCAACCACACAATTCCGTCTTGGCCCTCAATTTGGGGGCCCAGCCCTCACTCAGGTGTAAGGTTGAGAGGAAGAGAAACCCTCTGTCTTTGTATTTATAAACATTTCCCAGCAGTGCTGGAGGGAAGGAGTGGAAGGCACTAACTCTTTAATGGAGAATTTCCAGACAAGAGGTCGGGAAGTCTGGGATGGGTGGGGAGGGAGGTGTGTTCCTGAGGAATATTCAAATCAAGCCTCATTTTCCTCTAAAGCATTATCTGTCTAGATAATGGACACACATTTGGTGTGCAATGTCCCAGGATTTACTGAGGTAGAAGACACACAGCCACATGCAATCTTTATCTAAATTAATTCTACCTCTCAGTTACTGGACCTACGAAGGCCAGCTCTGATGTGGGAGGTGGTCACACAGATTTGAGGTCCATGGATGGTGGTCTTGATGGCCATTCTGACCAGGGCCATGCAAAAGGTGTGTCCAGTGCCCCCAGTGTGGCCTGGGTCCCCCTGGCAGGGAGCGAGGCAGTACATAGCTTACCTGGTAATGTTTACCCCAAACAAGGGGATAAGGTGTGAAAGTTTATGGACAAGATGCCCTAATACACTAATGCCTGAGTAGTCAAGGGTGTGTGTCGGGCTCTTTCCATTCAGAAGGAAAACAAACCTCATGTGTGGCTGGGGTATGGAGCTCCCTGGGGTATAACGGCAGTTTTTTTAGGGTTCATAAGGCTGAACAGGGACTGAGAGGCTGGAGAAGGGCAGCAGATGATCTCTGAACATGCATGCTGTGGCTGGAGGCCGAGGACAAGTTGGGACATTCAGTTTGCCACCTGCTCCTTCCTTCTCACATTCTTCTACCAGCACTGGTAGAGGCTGGCACTCCCAGGCTTGGCGGATACGAGGCCTGTGAATGTGTCCTGTGTGGAGCCCTGGTAAGCTCAACATTCAGTACCGTGCCCAGCCTTCCTTGGATTCTCCCTGGTCAGGTTATTTCCAGCACCCTGTGAGTTGACCTAGTGTAGAGCAGGTGGCTGGACAGCCTGCTTTGCTTCAGCTTATAGCATCTCAACCTTGTCCCTCACTGCCCCATACGTGAACATCTTTCCCTTTCCAATGACCTTCTGTCCACTGCCGTCCATTCGTCGGCCCCCTGGCCAGGTGCCCAGTTTAGAGCTCATGCCCAATGTGCCAAGAAGTCCAGCAGGCATTCACTCTAGAGCTGCCCACGGGTCTGCCTGGCAGATCTCTACCATCTCTCTTCTTCCTTCTTGCAGCTGTAACTGTTCTGTTCCCGTGTTCTTCCTGGTTCCATTTCTAGCCCTCGGGAAGGATAGATGTGCTCTTCATGGCACAAAGAAGTTGAGGCCTTCAGAGAGACTTCAGTACAGCAGAGCTTAGTTAACTCCACGTAGAACCAGTCTGTCTGACGGGGGACCCAAGCTGTGGCTCGCCCACTGGTCATCCAGAGCCACACACAGGGCTCTGCCCTGAGCCCAAGCTCTCCCTGGGGCTAGGCAGCACTGCTGGTTTACATGGTTTCTTCCAGGACAGTGGTTTTCCCACTTTTATTTTTAAAGATGTGAAATTCCTTTGTCGCATAAGTAAAACAGATCAAAGGAGAACTACTCTTGCTGAAAGACATAAGACAGACCTGTAGCCCTTTCACCCCTCTTCCTGGCTCCCTAAAATCCCTATGCTCTGGGGGTGGGGGGAGCTCTGCTACACCCAGACTGGGGTCCTAGACTCTAACATGACAGCAAGGGAGCCAGCTCGCTGCCCTCAGGTGCTCTCTCTCTCTCTCTTTCCTCTTCCAACTGAGGAAGACTGGAGACCCAAGTTTAATTTCGAGAATGCCTTCTTGGAGACATTCCCTGTTCACTTGGAGAATGACTCACAGTTCTGCAGCCATAAAATTCCACAGATGGCATTTCGTGTTCTGGTCACTTTCAAACAGCAGACTGGGTAGTTGTGTCGTTGCTCTGTAAACCCCTAGATCTGATTTTGGGACTCCTTGCTCATACAACTTGCTTATAGTCCACGTAATATGCAGAATGGGATCAAAGGCTGCTTGTCCTTCCTTAAGTCACATGCTAGGAATAATATCTTCATAGTTATCAGCAGAGAGCTAAAGCCCCAGGGGGGCTGTGAGTAGTCACATTCTTTGTTGTTTCCAGCTCCAGTAGACTGTGCACTGGTGCTGCAATCTCTGTTTGGTCATCTGCTTCTCAGTAACAGAATGTCACCTAAGGACAGTAACCTGGGTTCCAGATTCTCCATGAAAGCAACTGGTGGTCTGGACTACCTTCTTACAGACTACTGAATGAAAAATCTCCAGGGCGTTAGAAAGTTTGGGTAATCCTATCTTCTCCTTTCATCCCTCATGTTAAAATGTAACATTTCCTGTTTCACCCTTGGCTATAGGCCCATATACTGGAACATTTTGTTTCCTGGATGAAGTCATGTCCTAAAGGTCTATGCATAAACTCTGAGAATAGCAATCCCCCTGGGAATGCGCATAAGCGATAGAGAGAAACAGACCATCAGGAAAAGAGCCTGGAGAGGCAAGCCATCAGAGAAAGATTCAGGTCTCTACAAACTCAAATTAAGAATAAACACTCCATGTATAACTGTAAAGCGAAAAAGAATAAGTCTCCGGAGCCAAAGAGCAGCCTCTTCCTGCAAGATAAGCAGCAGTGATGACTCTTTACAGAGTCAGAACCACCTACTGTTCAGGGTACCTATAACCCAGTGAAAACCCAACCTTTTGGACTGAGAAACCAAGCTTTCCAGAGTCTTGAGCACATGAAGCTGTTGCGATCTTTTGCAGAATAGAGGCTTAGTAAAGCTACATCTTCACTGAAGGAACAAGTACTGAGGAGAGAACTGTGTGCCCCTTTACCAAAATGTCTCTAAGTGTAAAGAGACTGACTGAATGTCCCAACTAATGTCCTGAAGACAAATGCCTTCGTAAGAGGAGTGATCCACCCTTCTTTTCCATGCATGATGAAGACTGGACTATTCACAGCAACTGTGGGTGCCTCA